AGTCTTACACTGCTAAATTAGGGACGATTAGCGCAGATAGCCTTCGTGTAGCTTTGCGCGAAATCCGTAACAAACAAACAAACAAACAAGAAGTAAATTACGTTATATTAAAACGATTTTACAACATTACGTTGTAACAGTCCATGTCACCACGTCCAATAACGCTCTACCTGACGACCATGCATCTTGGTAATAGTCATGCAGCGTAACTTCTTTTGCAAGAGGGAACGTCGTAATTTTGTGATGTCCAAAGCAAGCCACTCCTCCATAGAGAATTTCCACAATCCATTTAGTATACGATGATGACGATCTCCCAGCACCCTTTTCAACAATTCTACAGAAAACCACAGGCGAATGTACAGGTATGATGTCATCTGGAATAGCATGGATACCGGTTTTATTCTCCAGATGCCTGAGGTATGCGACAGTTCAACTAACATAACGTAAAATAAACTCGTGTACATGTGACTTGTGTCGATTTTCCAAACGCAGATACTTCTTATTCTGTATTGTTGCCTGGGGCACATCAATGGCTATTACCAGAGACCTTTGTAAACATGGATTCTCACATGTTACAAGACGCCGTACTTTTCTCACCATGACTTGACTACTACTTATTGTAGTTATCTTTTTGGATGGCCCTAGTGTTTCAATATGATCAATGTTATTTTGTTTCCCAATTCCATTAAGCACAAGGGATATCCCTGTATTGAAATTTCTAAATCCCCGATCTTAAATCATATTTACTTTCTGAGTGTATGAATATTTTGTTACATGTCCTTACACGGATGTAGTTCCGACATGATGACCCTTAATATCGGAAAAGTCCTCGTAGGCACTAAATATGCTTTCATTCATACGTTCCTAGAAATACCAAAGTAGCAACAACCGACGTCAAAATGTAGTTCTGATACATTCCATACCACAGTGACTAAATATCGATCGGGGCTGTATCGTCATTTATTGATTTTCGTATTCAGAATCGTTTTAATATGACATACTCAGCCTTGAGTAAGATATTACCTAATTGTAAAACTAAATGTTTTTTTAGAGAAAAAGTTAGATAAATAAAAAAAATGTTTTAAAGAATAATTTATACATGTAATTTTTGCTATTTAAACGCAGTACAGTATATATTTTTGTATTTTACTGATCTCAATATAAAGACATTTCAGTTATCGTTTTCTTTAGAGATACGTGTAGATTTATGCATGACAAGTATGTACGACTTTACATTTATGTATCAAATCAGAGATTTTTACATTTTATGTTGAGCCTATTAAATGCTCCGTTTAATTTCATTACATTTATATATAATCGTTATTTTTATAAAAAAATAATAATAATTCAACATATTGCTGCTATTAAGAATATCCCGTTTTAACATATCTACAAGTTATAATAAATCACACTGCCATGCTTGAGAAGAGATGTCAGTGTTTTACTCAAATATTTTTGTAGGGGGGCCTGTACAACTACTTTATAATAAAATTTCCCCACGATAATTTATATAATGGGTGCCTTGGTCGGTGATAATTTAATATATTTATGCTATAGATTCGAATCAAGTAATTTTTGCACACCAAATGAACGCTCTATCATCCAAGGCCGTTTTTTAACTACTTATACTATTGATATTTTATTGACGCGGCCGTTAGGGAGAGCATTCCTATCATTTCATATTATGGTATTCGACTACTTCTTGCAGTTGAGAATTAATAACAAGTTCAGGTGTATAACTTGTAGTTTTCATTATACTACCAGTTTTAAAATAAATTACATGTTTAGTGTTAAATGTCATAACTCTGACCGATAAATGTAAATTAATTACTTGGCATGATCTAATATTACGCGTAACACGCCACATCTGACCTATTCTTGGTCATTCAATTTCCCTAAGAGTAAACCATGTATAAACTTAAACCTGGTCACTTATAATTTTCCCTTAAGTGGAAAACCTAACTAAGTTATGTGGCGAGATTACAGTAATCATACACTTGACTACACACTTCTATATTACGCATATTCGTGTAACAAAATTACCAAAACCTAGAGCAAATTTCATTATGCAGTTCTGATGCCATGGCTTCATACCACAACTTGAAACCAAACCGTATTTCTAGCGAAAGTAATTAGGCCTTTAACACATCATGTTTATTAATATTGTTTAATTGAGGTCGACACATGTTTACAATTTAAACGCGTGGCTATAGAAGACTGGGTTTTATTATTCATTTCATTAAAGTAGGAACAAGTTAATAATCGATAAGGTATTTCTTTTCAAAGATACAAACTAAATGTCAGTTTATCGATGGAAATACGTTATCAAAGAACATAAAACCTTGCCGTCGTCTGAGTAGAATGTTCTACCTGACAAGAAAATCTTTACTCTTCTCTGACTTATTCTAGTTTAACTCAACCAACATGAAAATGAGGATGAGGTAAAATTTTCTTTTCCATGAATCGAAATGTATCAAGAAAAGTTGAATAAGAAATACAATTTCATTTGATATATCAGTCGAAGTAGGCTTACGTGATTTTCACGAAGTCTATTTGATGTTGGTTATTGGACATTTTTTTTTCTTTTTACAATTCTGAATTATATAACACTGGTTGTTAAACATTCGTTTTAATTAGCTCGTGGATGATGGAGAAAATTTTGTGTTTATATATGGTTGGAATGAGAATGTGATTTAATCAATTTGTGCTAACTGATTCGCTTTTGTTTTTGTTTCTTATTGTTGTTATTTTAACACACGTGTTTCAACACGAATTCCTTGAATGTCTGTAGCACGGACTGGTGTACGATAATTATTTCTCTACTGGTCTTTAATTAACCTCATAACGGAGACAGAAAGTCCCAAATCTGAGTTGTTGTATTAGCCATGCATATGTAAAGGAGAGACTACGTATTATAAAACATAAAGCAGACTTCAAAACAGGCCTAACTAAGGTCGTTTATAATTTACTGATTTGTAGACATTTTGTACGTTTAGTAGTTTAAGTTATCGTACTTACATTTGTACACGTTCGTTTCGGTACTCACACACGTACACGTACATTGAACTAAAAAGCAGTCTTTTCTTTTGTCTGAATAGCTAGCCCTAAAAGTACAACAAAGGTCAGAGTAAAATTGTATCGTGTTCTGCTCTAAACTTTTAAACTATGTTTCACGACGTTGAGCCATTATAACAAAATGTCATAGCAAAGGCTAACACGCAACCATTATAACATAATTCACTTTCAGGCACTTTAATTTGACCATATAGAACATTCTGGGCCTTTAAAAAATGAGTTTTCAAGTTGTCTACACTAACTGAGTGAGCTGCGGTTTGTAACAATTAAGAAAAGCATACTGCTACGTATATATATAGAAAGAAACTAAAATATATACTGAAATACTGCAGCCTTTTAATTGGGGTGTACTCCCCCTCAGATTGTTATGTACAAGTTTACGAAGTTTATGGAAGAATTATCAGTCTAAAGAAAGAAATTGTTTGATGTTAATTGGCAGACTTTCACTACTATTTAGCTGTAGGAGAAGCAATTATAATACATGAATTATTTATCAAAGAAATGTAGTTTTTGTAGTTAGGGTTTACACAGCTTATAGTTAAATTCCCGGTAAACAAAGAAATTGAAGATTTCTAGGCTTGTCAGGATAAAACTGTCAGATAAAGTAACATTTTGGTTCGATGCAGGTCTCATATCTTACTCGGCAATATGCCAATTTCATTAAATAGAGTGCGCCCTGGCAGGTTTAGTGGCATTTATTTGAAATACTACTTAATTAATCATATAATTAGAAAATTAGCTTTTATGTAGTTAGGTGTTTTTACTGAATAGTCGAGGGATTACGTATTTTCAAGGACGTTATAAACCATTCATTAAATAATAGAATCGAACACGTTTACTGAACGAAATTGATAATACATTCTCACACCCAGATAAGTTTAATTATACACTCTCACACCCAGATAAATTATAATTTCTCATGCTGTATCTGTGTTCCCAAAAGAAAACAGTTTAAAGGACAGCTAGATCATAAGAAAGCTGTTTTTCTTCACTCGACATCTTTCATTTCATATATTATTTTTAGTCCGAAACCTAGGTTTTTTCTCCACTCGACATCCTTCATTTCATATATTATTTTTAGCCCGAAACCTAGGCTCCTAAAATAAAATATTCTGGTAGAAGATTGAAACAATTTTTATCTTTCGGTTCCGAAGTGTCTTTTCGTGTCTTACTTCTAATGGTCATTTTCAGTTTCACCTATCTGTGCTTCACGTCAAAAGACAATTTATGGAGTAGGAAAGCATGAGAACGTTGAAATATCGTGTGAGCTGACTGCTCAGCCTCCAGAAGTCGAGTTTCGTTGGAGATTTAACACCTCAGGAAACATTGATTCTTTCCAAAGTAATCGAACAACTAGTATTGCTACTTTGTCGTTGAAATCTAAATATGATTACGGAATCCTTTACTGCTGGGGAGAAAATAGTATCGGTGTTCAGAAGGAACCATGCATTTTCCATATCATACCAGCTGGTGAGTAACGCATTCCCTTTTATTAAATTTGGTTTCTATCGTATAATGCAGTGTATTAGCTATTTATTGAAAGTGAAGTTCATTTTGTAAGACTAAAAATTATTACGATGATCACTGATTCTTGAACAGAACGAAAAAGTTACTTTCTATTAAATTGAGAAATTAAAACAACTACTCAAATAAAGGTTTGTTTGTTTTTTAATTATGCACAAAGCTACACAATGGATTTGCCCACCACGGGTATCGAAACCCGGTCTCTAGCGTTGTAAGTCCCCAGACATACCGCTGTGCCACTGGGGGGGCCTCAAATAAAGGAAGAAAATAGTTGGAATTTTGAAAATGAGTGACAGATTACCTCGTAAATATTATGCCTTGCTCTGTGAGTATCGTTACTCCAATCATAAGTATCAAATCGATCATAATATTTAATCCCCGTGAAATAAATCTATACGTAATTTATTATCAAAAACTCAAAATGTTTTTCCCCGAAAGTACTATACCTATCTGCACGTTCTTCTCAAATAATACTAGTGTTTTCCAGATTGTAGTAACTCTGTCTGTACTTTCTTATCAAATAACAGTAATATTTCTCATAATATTAGACCGAGCGTGACCTAGATTAGCATTCCGTCGATGCAAAATCTTGTTCCTCACTTTGTAGCCATGCCTGCATTATAGGAGTAACAGTCAAATTCCCCTATACAACTAGAATATCCCCAAAGTTGGCGGAGGAACTGTTTACTAGCTTCCTTCATAATTTCTCTGTAGGCACATTATACTACTGTATATTAAAAGTAATCATAGTAACTGGGGATGAAAACTGTCTTACAGACACTTGTCAGCTAAAACAATTAATAAAGACTTCATATTCCACTGTGCCAAAAAAAAGGGCATAGTTTTGTTTCTTACCATCAACATAGATGCCTTCCCTCTAGCGGCTGTCTAGCCTATCAGTTCAAAATTTGAAACGACTTGCGTAGATAGCTGTTGTGTAGGTTTGCGCGCATAGCCGAAACAAATCAAATCTCTTAATATTTTCCTGTAGCTACATTTGAGTAAGTTCTTACATCGTATTAAACATTGAAGCAGCATAGGTGGCGCCTGAGTCGTTTGTTTCGGTATGCTATTCTATCACATATACTGTATAATATTATTAGCTGATGAGAATAATGCTCCGTTCGGGACATTTTATTTGAGGAGACTCTTTGTTTGTCCGCGACAGGTGTTTAAAAGAAATGAACTATCTCTCTTCACCCATTTGGAGAAGCTAAGCCTTTCCAAGCCTCTTATACGTGCCACCCCTGCATATCATAAATATCACAAACTTTACGATAGGTCTAAGTCTAGATGATTTTTTATACTATGTTAAACGTTGTTATCAAAAGGCATAGCTTTAAAAGTGCAGAGTGATTTTAACAACGAGAAGCCTCAGTTATTGGGCGTTCAGTTAACGTTTGTGTAGCCGACAGATTCGCAGTGAATGCAGGTTTGAGGTTTGTCATGTACAAGGTTTATTTTAACTTCACCATGGCTCACCGATAAGTCTGTGGGCTTATAAATTTTGACACCCACGGTGGGTACAGCACAGATAGCCCATTGTGTAGCTTTGTGTTTAACAACAAACAAACAAATAAAATAATTTCAAACTCACTGTATCACTTGCCCTGTTTAATTAAGATCTGGAAGCCATTCACACCCGAATCTGGGACGAATTCTATACTCTTGTCATTCGAAGTTCTTCTAGTCACGTGGGTATTATCAACGGAATGATGATCACATGTAGTCTCGTCCACAGAGAGAAGCGTTTTAAAGAAGAAAATCTTACTTTAAGTGACAACAACTGAACAAGAAGGACTTGGGGTTTCATGATAAATGTAAAACCAATGTATGTCAGTGAACGTAATCTAAAAAAAGTAATTATTAAAACTATAGAAAAAATTATCTCATACAGATCTACGATAATATTCATCCAGTAGGTTGTGTCAAGGTGCAATATTATACAGATTACCAAAAATCTGTAAACTCGATGTCCCCATACGTCCCATTGTTTCTAATTTAGCACTTACAATCCAATATTATACGTATTACCGAAAATATATAAACTCGATATCCCCATACGTTCCATTGTCTCTAATTTAACACTTACAATCCAATATTATACGGATTACCCAAAATCTATAAACTCGATGTCCCCATACGTCCCATTGTCTCTAATTTAACACTTACAATCCAATATTATACAGATTACCAAAAATCTGTAAACTCGATGTCCCCATACGTCCCATTGTTTCTAATTTAACACTTACATTCCAATATTATACAGATTACCCAAAATCTATAAACTCGATGTCCCCATACGTCCCATTGTTTCTAATTTAACACTTACATTCCAATATTATACGGATTACCAAAAATCTATAAACTCGATGTCCCCATACGTCCCATTGTTTCTAATTTAGCACTTACAATTCAATATTATACGGATTACCGAAAATATATATACTCGATGTCCCCATACGTCCCATTGTTTCTAATTTAACACTTACAATCCAATATTATACAGATACATATAACAATACAACTACCTATACTAGCCTTTACTTTCTTGGATTTAAACATCATGAGTGGTGTTATTCTGTTTCCCCTAACAACACAACTACCTATACTAGCCTTTACTTTCCTGGATTTAAACATCAGAAGTGATGTTATTCTGTTTCTCCTAACAATACAACTACCTATATTAGCCTTTACTTTCTTGAAAACATCAGAAGTGGTGTTATTCTGTTTCCTCTAACAACACAACTACCTATACTTGCCTTTACTTTCTTGAATTTAAACATCAGAAGTGGTGTTATTCTGTTTCCTCTAACAATACCACTACCTATACTTGCCTTTACTTTCTTGGATTTAAACATCAGAAGTGGTGTTATTCTGTTTCCTCTAACAATACCACTACCTATACTAGCCTTTACTTTCTTGGATTTAAACATCAGAAGTGGTGTTATTCTGTTTCCTCTAACAATACCACTA